GGTTAAGAGATGAAGTGTATATATATAGGGAGAGAGACAGAATGATATGTAGGGAAGGAGGTGACCACGTGACATCATAATCTCGAATTATGATGTCATAATCTTTCTTGAAATATATTTCTACTTTACGGTGGCTCCTAAATGCCTCCACACTTTCATGTTTCAACGGTTTAATTGACTTTGGCACTATTAAGATAATAAGATATCTTCTTCATGGTTTTTCTTCATACAGCTTATATCTCAATTAGTCTCTTAAAAGTCTTATCATAATAGCTCACATTAATTAATCTATGGGTGTTACATAAAAATTCCATAATAGTCTTTTTTTATCTATCTTTAGAGTTGTTACTTTTAGTCCAATAGTATGTAAGTGGTTTCGAGAATTAGCCCAAAAGTTTGGAGAAACCATATTTTTTAAGAATTTTTGTTGTCTTTGACAACAAAATGAACTATTACGATAGTTATAATTGTAGAGTAACTTAATGCATGAAAGTATGAAACTATTCTCTCGTAGTAATGCATTCAATTTGATCAACGTTTTTATTCACCGGTGACTTGTAAGTCGTAACTAAGTCGTGATCGATAGATAAATCAACACAAAAGGCCAAGTGATTATTTTAGGTTGCCTAATTTTTGCTGAATCGTATTTTGTTTTCATTAACAAATATTTCTTGGAACTCCTTTGTATTTTAGTTATGTATATATTGACTTTCTATTTGAAACGACTTCTCTTTTCGAAGTGATGGTACATATGAAAACCCCAAAAACACTAGACTATTACATAAACTATTTTTTCCAAATTTAAAACGATAAAACCTTTTATAAATGAAAACTGTGTTTAGAAAAATATATACATGGGGCTTAATTTCCAGAGCGGTCCCAAAACATCATTTATTCAATAGTATCATCGTCTTTCTTCACCAACATTAATAAGAAAAATTCGAAATCAAATAAATAGAAGAATGACACGTATATTCAGTGTGGGATCGCTAGTTATTGGGTGTGCTCTTGCTTCAACCTTTAACAGCTTGATCTATCTCTCTAATACGTACTCTCAACTAAATCTTCAACTCCTTTTTGAAAATGACTAAAGTTTTCTTCTTTTTACTTACTTCTTCTATATATAAATGTTGTGATAATATGTTTCATAAATCACCCGAATTATTTCCTTTGACAACATGAGATTTAACAGACCTCGTGAGAGCAAAAGTAAAGTGAATTAGGTAAGAAAAATGATCAAGATGTTTTTAGTGAGTTTGATTATCGTCGATGTTTTGCATGTAGGGTACGTTTTCTGGATATCATTCGTTTATTCCACTTTAGGGAAAGAATATATACAAATAAATTGCATCACACGTACGTATATCCACGCCCATTTTAGATACTTTAGATTCGACCCAAAAGAAAAACCAACTTTAATTCTGATAAGTTCCTGAGTGGAATTTTTTACGTCTTTTGTTTTAGTGGTATTGAAACCGAGTATCACACTTCACTTTTTGTTTTCGTTTTTACACAAAACTGAAGTATATTAAATTCCGAAAATATTATACTACTAGATATATCATAGTTCTGATTCATTAAATTGGTCAAAGACTGTCATTTGCATCGTGTACACTAGGAGATTGCTAGTTTGATTGGGCTCAATAAATGCTTCAAATGTGTATTACCATCATTCATCATATCATCAGATCAAATCATTAAATACCTTTTTCTCCAATAATTTTCTTGTTCCATTTTTTTACGACTCTTGTCCCAAAATTATATCAAATCTCAATCACTAAAAAGTAAAAAAATTTAAAAAAAAATTCACTAATTTTGCCATAGTACACTTATTTCATTCGTTTTGTACCGCACTCGTCACCCAAAAGGCCAAAACATTTACACTTGATATATGTAACCATTTGGAATAAAGATATGTTTATCAATATACCCAATATTTATAGCACTTTTTATTTAGATAATGTTTTGTCTCTCTATAATCGATTATAGAATTTGTAAGTGATTCCCTCCAGAAAAGGGAAATACATAAATGTTGCCAAGTGTTCGTACGCCAAGCCACGGCCAAGGCATTCTTGAGTCTTGACTACAACTACAAGTCTATAAGACTATAACTATCTTTCCAAATTTAATCGTGGCATCTAATTATAATGATGTAACCTAAGTTTCATGTCGATCAAATAAATGATATGTTTGACTCATGGACTATGATTTCAACGAGTAAAAATATATCTGACCATTTCCCGATTTATAAAAGAACAGAAAACTAGCTAGTCAGTCATGGAAGCGTGAAAACATAGAGATTTGGCTAGGGTTAGGAATTGGAGGATTTTTTATAGTTAAACAGTTCTAGCTAGTGAAACAATGCAACGAGTGTTGTCACGTTTCTAAATACTTTCAAATTTATCGTAAAAGTATGAAAACGTTACAATACTCATTGAAATGCGTAAAAAAATGCTAAAATATGGTCAACTCTACCACTATTCGTAATAATTATTCTATTGTCTTTATGTATATCCTTTTTATGTATATTCATAGCAGTACCTATTTCGTCTCCCTTTGTGTGTACCCATGCATATTGTGTCTAATTTCTTTTCATTTTTAATATGTTTGTGTGTTTTTCTTTTGAAGCGATAATTGCTTTGAATATCTTTTGAATGTAGTATAAAACAAATGTGACCCACACGGAATTGAAAGAGGAGTTCACTAATGTTACAGCCAATTCCCACACTAAAGAAGTGGCTTCGAACTCTAAACGGG